GACTCAAGCTTTTCAAAGCACAAAGCAATTCACCTCACATTGAGGGTAATCAATTTTTTTGTTTTTTCCTTTTGGTGGGTTTTTTGGTTTGCAAAATTCATTGGAATAGAATGTCAAGACCGGAGATTTGGGTCGGGATCTTTACTGAAGAAACCAGATAGGCGAAGACCTGCTTCATTAGATCTAAACAATGCTGTGATTAACACCTGCCACTCTTCTTCTCCGCGTTTTGGAGTCATGAAGAAAACCCCTATTACGACTAGCCGAGTTGGAACATTTCCGAGTCCAAGAACGCCAAATTATCGCCATTCCAGTGTTGGGGTTCAAAAAGGCTGGAGTTCAGAGCGTGTGCCACTGCATTCATCTGCTAATAGGAGGCAGGTCAATACTGCTTTGCTGCCTTATAATAATGGAAGGATATTACCTTCCAAATGGGAGGATGCAGAGAGGTGGATTTTTAGCCCGGTCTCAGGAGATAGTTCTGTTAAAACTTCATTACAGCAGCCACAGAGGCGGCCTAAATCCAAAAGTGGGCCTCTTGGTCCTCCTGGTCAAGCTTACTATTCAATGTATTCTCCTGCACCACCTGTTTTTAAGGGAGGAAATGGTGGTAATCTCTTAGCCAATTCCCCCTTTTCAACAGGAGTGATGACAACTGATGGTTTGTCAATTAGATGTGGAGGCAACCTAGGCAGTGGAAACTTCCATGCGCTCGCAGAACCATGCATGGCAAGGTCAGTTAGTGTACATGGATGCTCTGAACTGGTCTGTTTATCAACCTTGCCAATGTCCCAAGGTACGGATTTATCTTCCCAGTTGATTGGTTGCTTGATTAATCTAACTAAGAAGTTGCACATCGATTTGCATTGCAGCATCATAATAGTTAAATGTAACATAGTTTTAGACAGTAACTCCTTGAAGAAAGAAGAAATATGCAAGAAGATTACAAATAGAGCCCACTGGTTAATTGGTCGCAATACTTGATTGTTTCTTTGGAAGATTGAGATCTATATATCCACTATTGAGATCGCAATACTTATTTGCTACTGCCTATTGTCAATTTGGACATTTCCCTTACATTGAAAACGATATACACATCTTTAAGGTCATCTGTGCCACCCTTTGAATCCTCATAACTGTCGGTCGTGTAATATATGAAGAAATGATGACCGTGCCTTCCGATTTCGTTTAACTTTCTTGTAAATCTGATCTGTAGATGAGAGTGGGGATGATATTCAAGATGAAGCCAATGTTGTGTCACGAGTTATATCGAGGAGGGATATGGCCACTCAAATGAGTCCCGAGGCAAGCCCTTCCTCATCTCCTATAAGACAGTCATCCTTCTCTCCTTCAACTCCATCTATTCTACCACTTGTAGAATTGCAGAATGTTCCTTCTTCTAAAGCAGAAATGAGAGATGTTCCAATTGATGAGCGGGTTACAGTGACCAGATGGTCAAAGAAACAGAAAGCTCGAATTCCTGGTAGGAGCATGGAACTTGATGACTGGAAAAGGAAAGCTATGGAAATCCGCTCTTCAGGTTGGGATGTTTCAGATACATCAACAAGTATTTCAAAGTAAGTGATGCTATTTTATTTGTCAGCTTGTAAGTAAATTATTTTGAAGCATTGTCAATTAGTGTAGTTTGATGGTAGTCTAAGGTGATTGGAAGTATTTCAAATAGAAAAGGAAAAACTGATAAATCTTTTGTAGAAGATGCAAACACAAGGGAAGGGAAAACATCCAGCTGACTGTTGGATCCTTTCCTTGTGTTGTTCTGGTCATTTGCATTGTTCTCCTAAAATATTGGTTTACATGTACATTACCTTAATTGTTTATCTGATCTCAAGTTGATTATGATCATTAAAAATCTCAATATGCGGTACAGTTCGGGAAAGGATAGACCACATTCATGCTCTTTAACCTCTCTTTCTCCAAGTATCAAAATGTATTTGTTTCTCAATTCATGCTATTAATTGTCTCTGCTCTCTTCTGAAATATTAGGATTAAGAGGGAAGAAGCTAGAATCACTGCATGGGAGAACCTGCAAAAGGCAAAAGCAGAGGCAGCAATGAGGAAACTGGAGGTTGGTCTTTAATCACATACTTCCACCATGCATTCATTCGTTTCTAAAGCTTTTTTATGTTTCTCATAAGCTTATTTGACTCATCAATTATATGGCTTCAATTGAGTGTATTGCACCTGAATCCAAAAACCTGTTAATTATGATTTCAATTAACAAAAAATTGTCAAAGTAGTTTTCTGAATTGGAAAAGGCTGCTTACGTTGAAGTGGTAACCATCTAGTAACTTCCACCAGTGCTTGTAAGATTTGGTTTATCTTAAAGTCAAACACCCTCTGTCGAGATGTCTGGCCTAGTGAACTAGGCGTGTATAACAAAGGAAGGTTTTTGTTGTTGACAGGGGATTAGAATTTAGAATGTAGGGTCTTCAAGTGTTAAATAGGCTGACCTTTTGATAATCTTTGCTCACTGAACTTTTACGTTGTTCCAGATAAAATACAACTTGAAAGATGAGCGGTGGATTCTAAAACTGATATAATTATGTTAGCCATTGAAATTTTTTGGGAGGTGGGGGTTGAAGATTATATGCATTCTTACTTATCTGTCATTTTCTCATATATAATGGTTGACATTAGTGACGTGGGAATCTTACAAGATTCTGAAGGGGATGAGAGAAGATATATTGTTAATTTGGTATATGATATGCTATTTGGCCTAATTGTATAGAAATGTCATTTGTAACTAGTCATTTTCTTGTGCTAGCATCCATGGATGATTTGTTTAGATCAGGTCCTGAATCTTTCCAAAAAATGTACTAACTGCGGGTGATTTCTCCTCTCCCATGTCTACATGATAAGCTTAAATTGTCTTTGAAGGAAAAAAGGTTTTAATGGATAATTCCCTTATACTTGAAATTTTTATGGCATAATCATCAAGATATGTTCTCTCATTAGTGGATGCTACAATCTGTTGGTAGTTTTCTTACTCCATGTAATAAGGAAGGAAGATTTATCGTTCACATTTCACAATTATATAGAGAACAGAAGAATGGATAGAACTTTTTTTTTGAAATAGGTAACTTAGGAATGGATAGAACTTGCATATACAGTAATAGAATGAAAGCTTTTTCTGTTTGCAAATTGAAGACATGCTATCTGTATAAATATAATGCAGATGAAACTGGAGAAAAAGAGATCGTCATCCATGGATAAGATTATGAACAAACTTAGATCGGCACAGAAAAAGGCCCATGAAATGAGAAGTTCAATGTTAGCCAACCAATCACATGAAGTAACAAGATCATCCAGCAAGGCCTTATCTTTCCGTCAGACACGCCAAATAGGGTCTCTGAGTGGCTGCTTTACATGCCATGCATTTTGATGTTACAACCACCCTCTATATATCAGGTATTCTCCTACCTTAACATAGTATCCTTGCACAAGTTTAAATCTGGTATTGAATGATTAAATCCTTTCTTTCTGATGAACTTTTCTGCATTTTGGTAGTGAATGGGTCAGATCATGTAATTCTGGTAATAAGTGGCAGTGATTTGAAGATGGTATTTTTCAAGACGTGCTTTCTGGAAATCAGTGCTGTAGGGTAATCGAATTCCCCCATGAACGATGATATCTGCCGACTGAATAATTTAATTAAGTCAGAGGCATGAACAGAATGGATGTTGAATAGTGTGAAGTGCAACTCAAGTTCCATCTTGATGCTCCCATTACAAGGATTATTTTTCTTTCTTCTTCAAGCACCTACATCTTCAACCAAATTCTCTTTGCTCTGTAAGATTCTAAAAACATCTCCTTTGATTTGTATGTATGTAATGAATTTATCAATAATCCACGAGTTCTTTTGAATTTGTTATTGCTTTATGCATCCAACGCCCAAATGACAAATTCTCTAATTTTAATGCTAGCTTATCGGTTGGAAATGTAATTTCCTTATCCTTACACCCCCCCCCCCCCACCTC